GAACATAAAAGGAAATAAAAAGAAGTTCTATAAATACAAAGACAAAGAAAAGTGTAGGCCCTCTACTTAGAAGGGAAGGAGAGCTCATAATGGATGATGTCAAGAAAACTGAGGTGTTTAATGCCTCTTTTGCATCATTCTTTACTAAAAAGGTAAATTGTGCCCAAATACTTAACACAATTAATATTAACAATGAGAGGAAAGGAAGGCAAGCCAAAATAGGGAATGAGCAGGCTAAAGAATATTTAGGAAAGTTAGATATTTTTCAGTTGGCAGGGCCTGATGAAATTCACCTCTAGGTTACTTCAGGAACGAGCTGAAACAATCTCAGAACCGTTAGCAATTATCTTCAAGAAAATATGGAGGACAGGTGAGGTCCCAGAGGATTGGAGAAGGGAAAACATATTACATACCTTGAAAAGGGGAACAAATAGGACCATAGGGACTATAAAACAGCCAGCCTAACTTTGATACCTGGAAAGATACTGGCACTAACTATTAAACAATCACTTCTTAAGCACGTAGAGGATAATAGATTAATAAGTAATAGCCAACATGGATTTATTAAGAACAAATCATACCAAACCAACCTAATTTCCTTCTGTGACAGGATTACTGGCCTAGTGGATGTGTGGAAATTGTAGATAGGGTGACCAGATATCCTGATATTATCAGGACCTTCCTGATTTTTCACACCTGCTATCTGGTCTCTCTAATTATAGATGTGATCTATCTTGATTTTAGTAAGGCTTTTCACACAGTCTCATATGACATTCTTATAAGCAAACTAGGGAAGTGTGATCTAGGTGAAATTACTAGAAAATGGGTACAAAACTGGTTGCAAGCCTTACTCAGAGAGTAGTTAGCAATGGTTTGCTGTCAAACTACAGAGAGAATATCTGGAAGAATACTGCAGTTGTCTGTCCTGGATTCAATACAGTTCAATATTTTCCTAAATGGCTTGGTTAATGAAGTGGAGTGTTTGCTTATAAAATTTGTGGATGATACCAAGTTGGGAGGGAGGATTTGAATTTGGAAAAAAGAATTAGAATTCAAAACAACCGTGACAAATTGGAGCATTGGGCTGAAATCAACAAGATAAAATTCAGTAAAGACAAGTGCAAAGTACTCCACTAGAAAGGAAAAATCAAATGCACAACTACAAAACGGGGGATAACTGGTTAAGCAGTAGTATTACTGAAAAGGATCTGAGGTTTATAATGGATTACAAATTGAATATGAGTCAACAAGGTGATGCAGTTTAAAAAAAAAAAGCTAATATTCTGGGGTGAACAAAGCACTGCAGCTCAATGTAGTGAGATGCATCGTGACAGAGGCACAGCAGGTGTCAGCTAAATCTTGATTCATTCAAACAGGAAGTATTCAGATGGTCTATGAATATCTTCCATCTTCATAGAGTTCAAAACCTGCACTTTTGTCTCTGTTGCCTGTTCATTCAGGCCAGGTTAGCACTGTAGTGACCAAAAGTTACCACCATCTGAGTACTAATGATAAATAATGTGAAAGGAGTTTGGCTATCTCAATTCAGCTAGGATAGATTAATATCCTCAAGGTAAGTATCAATATGGTAAAATATCATTATCACAGTTTCACTGCCCTCTTGTTGGCAGTCCAAACAGAGAGCCATAGATGTAGTTCCTTCAGGTATTGTTGATGCAGATTTGCATCGCAGTGGTTTACACTACTACTGTCTCTGCTGTGTCTGTTCTGTCTGTAAATAACACTGGTCTACAATTTTTGAGAAGTCGTCTGCTTCAGAGATAAAATGTGCCATTTATTATGTATTTTGATGTGCTGAATTCAAATATGACAATTAAAACAACTGATTGGCTACTGTTTCTAAGATATTTAAGTTTTTACATG